CCCGTTAGACGTTGAACATGTTCCAGTCATCGGATGTCTTGTAGTTCTAACAAGGTGGTTCCCGTGTCTTTCACGCACCGCACGAACGAGTTTGTCTGCTTCTAGCTCCCGCTAGGCTTTCTGTCCTTCAATTCCGAACTTTCACGTTATAGTAGATATCACCACATGTACTGAGTATTTGACGACACATACAATTTGATGTTGCTCCCAATTCAGACGACTGCCATCGCAGAATGGCACGCAGCATTCAGATCATAGAGAAAAATATTATCGGTAGGTTTCGAACCTGCACCATTCGGAGAGAACAGACTTGGAATCTGTTAACAACTTAGGCCATGAAGTCTTACGGTTGACGTTCAAATACCCCTCCATGAACTCATGCCCGAGGTGCGATCATAGCTAGAGAAAAACTATTGTCAGCAGGTTTCGAACCTGCACCATGAGGGAGGAACAGATTTTGAATCTGTTATGTAACAACTTGGCCATGACTCTTATGGAACGTTGACGTTCGATGATCTCTCCATGAGCTCACGCACAAGGTGCAAATCATGGAGAAAAACATTGTCGGCGGGTTTCAAACCTGTACAAACAGATCTCGAACCTGTTAACCACTTGGCTAACATAAATCGATGGATTCAAGCTAAACATACAAGCCAAACGGGTAAGGTCTGCCCGACGATGTGGCTGATTGTCAATTGTCGGTGACAGCTTGTATGCATAATCTCGTGCATATATGAGCCAGCCCATGTAGGGCTGCGCGTCCGTATGGTGGCCATGGTTGCGCATGACGACCTGTAGATCGAATCAACTTATAGTGGTCAGGAGAAGTCATGTAATCGAGTGCGCCGGGGGGGTAGTTGCCAGTCGGTGGTGCCGGCAGGAACGAAAGGCTGCTTCTCCTTCAGGATGAAGGTACGATATTACCGCAGCCATCAAGCCAATGATAGCGAAGCACATTACAAGTGACCACTGCGCTACTCCTGAAACACTAACTTGCGTGCGAGACACCACGTATCTACAGCAAGCCTGACATGTGGATTCAGGGATAGTATTAGTGTTCTGTAGGAGATGCAACTTAGTGCCTACTCACCTTAGTGCGCGCAAGTGACCACTCCCTCGTCGACGCTCCTGCTGACCGAGACACCGAAAAAGATTCAATGGCGGCCATCACTGGCACTTACAAAGTAGCGTCCCAAGCGCCAACTCGAAAGGAAATGCTTCATAGACTTGAATTGACGCTTAAAAGTTAAGGGTCATGAGAAATTGGTGAACGAGGTAGTTTTCATCCGTGGTACCCGTCTCCTCGTTAGTTGCTCCCACGACAAGAGTAGGATCCGGACTTGGGGAAACAAGTGGGCAGCGGAGCAGTTGAAATGTAGCCCGAATCCGCCGTGTAACCGAGGTTTTGAAGAAGCGCACGCACGTGAGTCACATGCAAATTCATCCATGCACTTCCCGCCATTCGTAATCTACTCGCTATGCGACACTGAAAAACTGCACCAATAAACATGCACATGCCATATTACATGTCTGCTTCACATGGGTTGCAAATGTCGAACCTATCGCAAAAATGAACTCATAACGTCCAGGCCGTATTTTCACGAACCGCTGTCGATTCGTTTGAGGCTCGAGTCCCGTACGAGAACCACAAATGCCTCATCTACGAGCCCATGCAGGAACCCATCTGGTTGATTCAACATCGTCTTATTGTTCTAAACGATGTCTGTCCGATCTTCTGAGGTGGATGCTCATGTATTTTTTGTCTGACCTAAACTCATAATGTCCATTCTGAGTGTCACGTCATCCGCACCGGCAGGTTTAATGATACGATATCGATTGTGAGTTTACTTGATTTGAAAGATATCACACACGACGATACACTGGTTGGGCTCGAGAGTCTGTCTACGCTTCTTCACTGTTGAGTTCGTTGTCAGCGATGAAGCAGAGAGCCTTCAATCCCGGACGCCCGAGTAGACCGTACCATACATCTTTCCGGAAATGATTTTGGACTCTTCAAAACAAGCCTGAAAAACCAGCGTTCATAGATTTCGGACACTGCGGTGTTCAGGGATGCTTCGTACCCTCTTGCACACCTTATACGGCCTGATGGGTACCGTGCCCCAGAAGTTACACTTGGCGCGCCTTGGTCATACAACATAGACATCCGAAACCTGGGTTTGATAGTAAGGTTAGAAATCGACTGCGTGGAACTGACGTCGCTGCGTCACAGATATATGCAGAACCCAATCAAAGATAAAGACCAATGACGGATCCTATCCTTAACATCAAGAATAGACGAAGGCTACACATCGTGCTCAGCTCATTGGGTTCGTCGATTATCTATCTAAGGTGCTTCTTAGAGCCCTTTTTTTTGAATCTGACGGTAAGTCGTACTGAAATATATAGGCTACCTGCTAAAGGTGCACCAGGATCATTCAAGCACCCAAACCTTATCACATAAGGCGTCACCTTGGCGGATTCCGTGGAGACACTGAAGGTGAAGGTAAGAAGCTGTCACTAAAATGCTGCAGTGGTAGCTCCCGGAGAAAAGGAGTATAGCAAAGGAGTTGCTCGAAGACCCTTGGTCTGAACGGTTCGATTGATTGCTATATACCCTTTAGGTTGGAACTTGGAAGGTGTTGTCGTGCCCGCCGTGATAGTTTAATATTCCCCATATTTGTATCTATTCAGTTTGAAGGACAGAGGAAGCATGCATGACTGCTTTGCTGTTGTCGTCTGACGCTGTGTCTAGGCCTCTCAACGTTCTTGATTGTTGCCTCCGAGTTGTGAAGCTTACTAAGCTACTGCAAAAGGAATCACACTACCGAATCCCGATTGTTAAACAGTGAACACTTGTATAGAAGTACCGTCCACCACCACCAGCTATGGTTCGAATTATCATCAAAGGAGGTAAGTAACTCTGTCCGGGCCTTTTGACGCACGTTAATTGTAACCTTGTAAATTAATCAGGTGTTTGGAAGGTACATTACAACTTCAGTTCGAGTATCACCGGAATCCGAATCTGACACACTCATCCAGAACACGGAGGACGAAGTTCTCAAGGCTGCGATAGCCAAGTACGGGAAGAATCAATGGTGAGTTGTCCATTCATTGTCAACCGCCCCACTCTGGTACTAAGCATAACCAGGGCGCGTATATCGTCGTTGCTTGTCCGGAAGACCCCCAAACAATGTAAAGCGCGGTGGTATGAGTGGCTAGATCCGTCTATCAAGAAGACGGAATGGTCAAAGGTGTGTGTCGTAGACCTCTATTTTGATGCTGAAACCTGTAATGTACTACCCAGACCGAGGATGAAAAGTTAATGCACCTCGCAAAAATCATGCCCACGCAATGGCGGACAATAGCTCCCGCAGTGGGTCGTACAGCTACGCAATGTCTTGAGCGATATCAGAAGTTGTTGGATGAGGCCGAGGCGAAGGAGAACGAGGAGTTGGGGCTAACGGGACCAGCGGGAGAGTCGGCGCCGAGTGCAGACGACATCAGGCGCCTGCGGCCAGGAGAGATTGACCCTGACCCTGAAACTAAACCCGCGCGTCCAGATCCTATTGACATGGACGAAGATGGTACATTTTCTTCTGCTCAGGAGGCGGGTTTTTGCTGATCCTGCATACAGAGAAGGAAATGTTATCCGAAGCCCGAGCTCGTCTCGCAAATACACAAGGCAAGAAAGCTAAGCGGAAGGCTCGTGAACGCCAGCTCGAAGAAGCAAGGCGACTTGCGGTCTTGCAGAAAAAGCGTGAGCTGAAGGCTGCTGGAATTATGTGCGTCGATTTATTTACTTTGTGCTATGACCTTCCTTATGTGATACGCTTTAGTATGCGACATAAAACGAAAAATAAGGGTATGGACTACAATGCTGACATTCCCTTTGAGAAGAAGCCAGCAGCGGGGTTCTACGACACGTCGGAAGAACAGGCACGCATTACCTCTGCGCCAGTGGGCCAATCTCTCCGCCGTCTGGAAAACAAACGCAAACCTGATGAAGAAGAAGCTGAACGAAGGAAGCGACAACGTCGCGCAGCAGAGGCTAAGGGTGAGAACGATGGTCACCAAACAAAATTCATTGCTGCTCGTGATGCACAGATACAGAAGTTGAAAGAGGCGGAGAGCATTGGCCGGCGACGGAAACTTGTGTTGCCGAACGCTCAGGTCGGGGAGGCGGAGCTAGAAGACATTGTCAAGATCGGGCAGACAGGGGAGAATGCCAAGGCATTGGTTGGTGGTGGAAGCGAGGCAACTGCGAAGCTCTTGAGTGACTACGAGGGGTTAGAGGGCGCAAGGATGGCACGAACACCTCGTACTGCACCCCAACGTGAGTCTTCTTTAGTACTCACTTCCATCACGGCGACTGAGCTATATTATAGAGGATAATGTCATGTTGGAAGCACGCAATTTACGGAACATGACCATGGCACAGACACCTTTGTTGGGAGATGAGAACACCCCCCTTCATGTTGGGCCAGGGGGAGGAACTGGTTTCGAAAGCGCCACTCCTCGGCATCAAGTTGCTTTTACTCCAAATCCTCTCGCAACTCCTATGCATGGCGGACCAGGTGACGTTTCTGCAACGCCGCGAGATGGTGCATCGTGGGGCGCAACCCCACTGCGGACGCCTATGCGTGATACCCTCAGCATCAATCCCGCTACGGGCATGCCAGTTGGCGAGACACCACGCGACCTCCGGTTGCGCTCCGACTCCGCCAAGCGTGCTTTGAAGGCCGGATTCATGAGTCTTCCAAAGCCTGAAAACAACTTCGAACTTTTGGTTCCCGAAGATGAAGATGAAGACGATGGCACCACGGGTCCGATGTCAGATGAAGATGCTGCCGAACGGGATGCACGCTTGAAGCGGATGCGCGAAGAGGAGGAGAGAAAAGCTTTAGCGCGACGGACGCAGGTTGTTGCCCGTGGTCTGCCTCGTCCTGCACGGGTCGACGTGGAGCAGCTGATGGGGGACTTGAATGTTGGGGAAGAAGATGATGACATGGCTGAGGTCAGAAGACTTCTGAATTTGGAGATTGTGGATCTCCTGCTGCACGACTCGATAGTGCATCCACTCCCTGGCACGAATATTCCTGGTGGCACGCCATCAACTTATCAGATACCGCCAGATGATGACCTCGCTGCTGCTAAAGCCCAGGTCCATCTTGAACTTGCCTCATCAATAGGCTTCCCTGATGCTAACGAAGCTCAGGTCAAGGAAGGACTGTCAACATTGTCGAGCAGCGAAGAGATTGATGGGAGTCCGTCTTGGGCAAGCATCCGTCAGCAGCTTGCTTTCGATACCGCTTCGAGAACATGGGTAGAACCCAGCAGCTTATCCGCGGAAGCCAGGATAGCCGGTTATACCACACTGCTCGAGGAGTGTCGTGGAGAGATGTCGAAAGAGGCCAGTAAAGCTAGCAAGGCCGAGAAGAAGCTCGATATTACCCTTGGTGGATATCAAGCACGTTCAAAAGCTCTTTCAAAAC